AGGCACCGTTCCTGGTACCACCTTCCCCAGCACTGGGATCAGCACCGGAGCCCTCCCTGGGCGGCCCGGGGGGCACACAGGATGGCCAAGGCCACCAGCTCAGCTCCCTGCTCTCCACCTGCAGCACCGCCAGCAAACAGTCGGTGAGACAGTCGAATCAAAAAACTGCCCAACTGCCAGAATTAGAAAACACTGAATAATGAATGTGGGTCCCTGGGGTTCCCAGCAAGCTGCGACCAAGCACAGCTGCTGAGTAGCACTAAGAGCTGACACGGGGAATATTAACAGCACACGTCAGCCAACGGCTTGAAAATCTGCTTGGATTTTTATTTAGCTGCACCTTCCCAAGCTCCAGGGAGCAGGCGTCCTGTGGGCCAGCAGCATAGCCTGCCCGGCTCCTGGAGCAGGCAGGCAGCAGGCAACGATACCTTTCCAACAGGTAATGCCAGTTTATTCCAACCCAAAGCAATTCACACGCTGGGGTGAGCACCAGGAATGCCCACTAAGCTCAGCTTCCTTTCAATAAGAGCGTATTTGCCATCTCTCTTCTTCAAATAATTCTGAACGCGATGCCTTCCTATTCAGACAAAATCAAATATTTATTCGCGCTGGAGCACGCTGGCAGCGCTGGGTTGCGTCAGCACTCTCCTCTCTAAAAATGCCTTTTTCCGGAGCTCCTTGTTGTCTCCAGCTTTTCTGCCTTTCAAGCTGCTGCTTTCTGCACACCAGGCTTAGGCTTTGGAGCAAATTTGGGTCTGGAAGATCTAAATGTCAAATGCAAAGAGAGAGGGGAACTCCTGCTTGCCACTATGGAAAATTCCTTGTTGTTACAGCATGAACTGTCCTGGTGCCTTGGACACCAGACAACAGGGTTGAATATAAAATCAAGGACAGTTTTGCTTTGATTAGGGAGAAGCAGTGACAGGACAGCATTAGAAACATCTCTGGCAGGGTGAGTCTCTACACCAGGCAGGCCCTTGGCTATTAAATGAGCACAGGAAAAAAACCCCAAATAGATCTGAGCTGAGGTGATTCAGACCCAGCAGAAATCCATTTTTATGCTGCCAAATCACAATAATAGAAAAAAAAAAAGGGTAATTCTGCATACATGCTCACTGGGCTCTACCAGAGGACAGTGTGTTCTTTATTTAAGCCTCTCCTGCTCTCTTGGCAGGGAACGTCTGTGCGGTGGGGTGGAAATGTGCTTTCAACACCCCCGTCCCACTGCCGAGGCTCATACCCCACAGGCAGAGGAGGGTGAGCTGAGGGGGAGACAAGATGGGACTGGGAGAACCAGTGTGGTCCAGTTTCTGCCTGTGTTGCTGCCTGCACCGGGCAGATTGGAGAACCGATGTTGGTGGGGGGCTTTGCAGGCTTCAGTAACAGCAAGCGCTTTCCGGGTGCAAACACAGGCGATTGAAGCCTGTGATGGTTTTTAGGAGATTCTTTAAGTCCCATGGAAATTCATAATGCTGGTCTGCTGACAAAATAGGGCTGATAATCTGATCGCACTGTTACTGAGGGGATGATTACAGAATCAATCCTCATCTCATCGTGATGTCTGATTTTATGGATCAAGGCAGAAAGAGAAAGGTTCCCCCTGCAGAAAGCAACTCCTTATTCAACCTCTCTGATGATAATTAAATTATAGATGGCACCCTAAGTTATTTAGTACCTCTGTTAAAGATGCATGGGTCCTGGGTTTTTTTGGAGTATGTTTGAGGAGGAACAGCATCGAGACAGGTAACTGCTGCTCTTCCAGGGATCTCGCCTCATGCCAATGAATAATGATGAACACGCTCTGTCGGTTTTGAACATGAAAAGCCAGCAGATAGCCCTGAGCCACAGGAACCTGGGCACTTTGCAGCAATTTTGCTTTGGTTTTAATGCCTATATCTGTTCCCTGGCTGCTTCACAGAGCAGGTATCTCAGGGCTATTTTCCCCCATTATCCCCTCTGAACTCAGATGATGTGATCTCTGCAGCAGGCACTGAAACTGGGGGTGGGAAGGGCTCTCCCAGCCCCAATAGCCAGTGGTGAGCAGAGCTCTCCCAGTCCTGCATGGGCTTGTGCTGCATAAGTGACCCAGGGCCCTCCCAGATGCCACAGCACAGGGAATTTGTCTGGGAACCAGGCTTGCACCTTAGGTATCTCCAGGGGAAACAAACCAACGCGCAGAGCTGCATGCATTCGACTCCACATCAGCTCAACCAGGGATCTCATTTTTTTTTCTGGGGCAATTGGGAAAGCACTAGCTTGGTGCTGGGAGGCAGGACCTCTCTGCTCCTCTCCCCCTCTAGCAGGCAGCAGGGCTCTGCGGGACAGGGCAGACCAGGGAGCACCAGCAGAAACCCAGCTGGGTGCAAGGGGAGGTGTGTTGGTGAGGGAGGTTGGGGAGCTGGTGATAAATGGGTCTCCAGGACCTCAGCCAGGGCCAGCAGCCAGGGAAGGTACATCCTGGTGCCGAGGAAGCTGTAGGTGCTGGAGGCTGTAACAGGCTGCAGCCGTTTCCACCTTTCCCAGCACGGCTCATCCAACCCAAGAGCCCAGCCACCTGCATAGGGCAGGGTGCAGACGCGGCGCTCCCCAAGGATCTCCATAAAGCCATCGCTTGTGGCCAGGCACCACAGGAATTCCTTGCAGGCATCCACAGCCAGGCTGGCTGGAGATGATGGTGAGGTGCACCAGGAGTGCCTTCTGTGCAGGTCTGGCAAACACCCTTCTGCGCCAGGCTCTGTCAACCTTCACCTCCCCACCCAATCGCTGTGGCTGGAGCATCTCTGAACCAAATGCCATCACTTCCTCTTTGCCTGACAGAGAGGAAAGCCCAGGGAACTGGGGGAAGATGCAAATGAACAAACTTGTGAACTCCAAGCTGATTGGAAAGAGCACAGGCCAGTGGTCACAGCAGAGATGCCTTTCTGATTTAGAGAATCTCCTGCTAACCTTTGCCAAAAATCCTGATCTTTAGAGCTGGGGAAATTTGTGGCTACGTGTGACACTTTCTGAACACACCCTGAGATGTGGTGGGAGAGCAGCACTGGTTGCTGTGCGCATCTGCTCGGCACTACTCGCAGGGGTCGCATCCATCTGTGGAGCTCCAGGGGCTTCCTGGGGAGCCCAGCTGTGCTGGCGAGGAGCATGTGCGGCTTCTGGCACTGATGTGAGATGTGCAGGGAAGGGCAAGGCTGTGCTGAGGGAATTAGTGCTGCCGAGCAGTAGTGAAGGAGAGCTCAGCTTTAGGAGTAGCTGAGCTTGCGAGCGCCTGGCTCAGCCCATCTTTGTCAATCCAGCAGGGTCATATGGCTACTTGCTGTCATGGCCTATGTAGTTAGGGCCTGCTTTTCTGACATAATACGTGAGGCAGTGCCCCAAATCATCTGCCCCTGCAGCTGCAAGGATACGATGGCACAGCTTTGTGCGTGGTGGGGGGAGTGAGGGTTTAACAGAGCTGTGCTGTGACAGAGGAGATGGAAATTAAAAAAAACTGACTAAAATGAATAACAATGGGGAGACAGTGATTAAAAATTATTATGCAGTTAAAATTAGAGCGTTATCCGCCTTGAAGCCCATGGAGGTGACTTGTGCACTCTGTTCCTGGACACAACCATGCAGAAGACACCGTCGATGTGGTCTTGTAAAAAACTCTGCTCCTCCCATGCTCTGGTGGCTCTGGCTGCATATCCCTGACTGCAAGGCAGGGATTTAAAAGCTGCACTCCAGAGAGTTTCCCGGTTCAATGTCTGAGGTGGACACGAGGGCTTTTTCCTTCACTGGGACCAGATACATGGAAACCAAGGCAGAGAGTGAATTTACACAACAATTTATTCATCAGAGGAAGGGACAGAAGGGGGCAGGGAAGAGACAGACTGGGAAAAGCAAGAGAGGACCCACAGAGGAGCACACAGACAAGGAAAACCACAGCAGGAGCCCACCACGAAAGGTGGTGCAAACAACAGAGGGGAGAAGAGCTGGGATGATTTTCAGAAGCCAAAAATCCTTTCACACCCATCTGAAGGGTACAGCAAACTCTGAGCTCCCCGAAAAAAAACTCCAGTGATGAGAAAAGAACAGCCTGGGCTGGCCAAGGAAGGAGCAGCCCAGCAGCTCCCGTGCCTGCTGTCAGTGCGAGTGGGGGTGTTTCCACACCAGGATGGCCCCATCCGCACTCACGCTCACGATGTACTTGTTGCCAGGGCACAGCTTGACACGGGTGATGTTGCCACCGTGGCCCACTCCGACGTGAGTCACTGCGGCCTCGATGTAGTCCCACAGTTTGACCAGGCGCTCATCGCCACCTGCAAGGGACACAACGCAAGACCAAATGACAGCACCCACTTACGCTGCCTTTCCTCCCCAGATCACCGGCAGGGCAATACTCCTGCATGCCGTTATCTGGGAGGACTGGGATACCTTGCTGTGGGCATTATGGAAGAATGGCTTCCTCTCAATGGAAGTAGGAGTCAAGAGTCCAGCACAGTGCACAGGACCCGCAGCAGCAGATCACAGGGAGCTATGGCCGGCAGCTGGCACCAACATCATGAAGGACCTTCGAAAGGCTCTTAACCAACACCCGTGTAAGCGGTTAATCTAAAAGAACGAGTGCTGACATCAAGTCTGTGGGGTCTACCTCTAGCTGTTACACATGACACCACGGCTCTTCTGTGCCGACGCTGGGCTCCCAGAAGACACAGCAATTTATTTTCCCCTTAAGCTGACCCCTCCTTTTACTATCTTCTTTTTGACTGACATCCTTGGTTCACTGCCTTCCTTTTCCTGCTCTCAACGCGCCCTCCTCTTTTCCAGTTTCATCCACCCACTCACCTGTGACAAAGTACGCCCCATCTGATGTGATGTCCATCCCATTGATGGAACCCCACACAGACCCCTCCACTTCTCTGATTACAAAGCCACCAGTCACTTCCCAGTATGCGATCTAGAGAACAGAGCAGAGTTCAGTTGTGCATGAACAGCACACAGCTTTCAGCACTGCCCCGTACCACAACCTTCTGTGGGGGTACAGGAGCTCCATCGCGTAACAAGCACTAGGCTTTGTGTCTGGGAATTCCTGCCAACAGAACTCCTGCAGTTTTGCTTACCTTGCTGTCTGTGCCACTGGTGATGATGTGGTACTCTTCAGGATGGTAACACACGCATTTGAAGAACGTGTTGGCTAGAAGGATTTGTTTTTTTACAAAACGCCTGCAAAACACGCCCATATCAGGAGAGAGCAATAGAGTCAAACAAAGAACTTTGACTGCCAGCACTCTCCGCTCCCGTGCATCAGACCTTTCTACTCGGGTATCACCAGGCATCGGTCTGAGTTCCGGGGTTCATGAAGCCTATTAAGGGCAGCAGTTCTGTCCCCCATCACAGCTGCCTTGCAAGACTTTTGATCTGCTGTCACGTGAAAGGAAATGTTTTAAACCAGAATGCTTTCTAGGTGCTATTCACAATGCAAAAATGTCCTTATCCTTACGACAATGCAGAAAGTCTGCAGATTGGCCATAGCTCGGCAAGGGCCACACAGTGCTGGAAAACGGGAAACTGAGGAGTTCTCTTGCTCCACCGCCTTGGCCAAGCAGGATCCAAGACAAGAAAACAACCTGAGACAAATGCTTGTCTAAACCTTTCCGAAAAGTTTCCAGCACTGGAGGTTCTACGTTCCCTGACCTGACTGTTCTTCCTAGTAATTTTCATTTCTTAATGCTCTTTTTCCCTTCGTCCTTGCTACGAGGTGTCCCAAATAGGGCACAACGACCCGAGGGAGGTATTACGAGCATTCGCAGTGCATTGCCATACTTATCTGTCTCCTTACACAATATCCCAGATGATGCACATTCCATCAAGGCTGGCTGTGACGCACTCTTGGTCGTTCTTCTTCATCTTAATGCAGGACACCGCAGACACGTGCTCCTTCATAACTTCTCCCAGTTTCTGAGTCTTTTCACCAATCTCCCAGATCCTCACCTGAAAATCAGTAACAAACATTTGCTCTTGTACCACCTGGTCCTGACTAAGCTCAGGAGGTCACCAATGGCTTTCCTCAACTCAGCCTTTCTCTTACAGCATGTACAGGAACTGAATCTGAACGGACTCTCTCTGTTTTCCTGTGGGTTATTCATGCAGCTGACTGGCCAAACTGAACGGAGCTCTGGAGAGTGTGATCCACTGAGTTCAGGAATTTGTGATCGTTAACCCCAGACATTGGTTTTGCCAAGTTCCCTCTCTCCCATGCTTCAGTTTACACATCTCTCCATCAGGAAAAAGCATCTAGCCCATGGCAGATTTCCAGAGGTGCTTTAAAGATCAAAGAGAAAGACTTCTGTGATGGAATACAAACAAGCTACCTGCTATTTGTGCTGCACAGCAGGCCAGCTAGACACAGGCTTGCAAACAATGACTACTGCAGATAGGCCACAGATAGGGGAGAGACAAGTGAACAAAAAGGATGAGGAGCATATTCTGCATTCGAAGGATTTCCAAGACTACCATCCCAGAAGAAACTGGGCCAGTTTTATGTTCCGCCCTCTGAGAGCCAGAGAGCTGCATGTACCAAAAGCTGATAATTTCAAACTCATCCCTTTGCTCAAGTGAAAGCTCAGAATAGCTCACTTTCTGACTCAGCAGTTACGGACAATTCACAGGCCCTGTGATGAGAGCACGAAGCTCCAGGTTTTTAAGTAAAAATTACCTGCCCTTCACCTCCTCCACTAATGATCCGTTTACAGTCACTCGTGGCAGCAATTGCCGTCACTCCCACGCTGTGGGCATTGTCAATCACGTACATGAGCCGTCCAGTCTCTGGTGTGAAGGCACGGATTCTCCCGTCATCCCAAGCTGAAGAAAATAAAGAAACAGATTACCCAGGGGCACTGACTTTGCTCATATTACTGGCTTTCTTCCCATTCCAAATGAACTTGTTTTTTTATGACAATCCTTTGTAAGTCCCATCTCGTTAGATCACCAGTAGACATGTGAAAACCACTGCCCTGTAGACGAGCCTGCAGAGCTACGGTCCCAAATAAACTATTAAATGTTAATTCATTTTTGATTCTGGCTATGGACAAATTGGTTTGGTAGCAATGGGGGCACAACATTGCTTCTCTAGGACTGCAGTAGTTCCTGTGTAAGCAATTTGCATATGGCAGCGGGTGGCAGCTTTATGCAAAAGGTGCTCTACATATGTACCACGTGTTGCATACAAGAAGGTTAATATTTTACAATTAGGCCTTTCAAATAAGACTGAACCACATTTGGATTTGCTGGAATTCACTTCCAAAGCCAGGTCTCCAGACCTTGCCTTCCACTTACACCATCACTACAGCATGGGGGTACTGGGGGCTGTGAGCAGAGTTCAGCGGAGCAGCTGCAAGCAGAGAGGCCTTTGGGTCAAGCAAGGAACTGAATTGAAACCCACTCCCAATTTAACTTCTTCATTCTAACATTCTGATGTTTATTACATTTGGCAACGCTTGAAGACTGGACTCAGCCATGGCTTTGGACTGACCATACCTGAAATGATGCTTTTGCCATCCCGCGTTATCTCTATGGCATGGCAGGTCACGTTGGGGATGACGATTCGTAGGAGCTCCCGGCTTTCTGGGGTGTGCCACACTCGAATATCACTTTTGGAGCAGGTAGCAAACAAGTCGGAAGTTCCCCTGGAGAATTCAGAGGAGAATGAGGAAGCGCAAAGAGATAACGCTTCTTTCTTTGTCAGATCTTAAATCCTTCTTCAAAGCTCAGCTGTTTCTAATGTGCAACTGTAATCTTCCCAATAGGGATCACCACGGTTAAGATAAAGGCCTCTTCTGTAGGATCACCTTTCTCACATAAAATTCCCTTGGTCTGGTTTGCACTCATAGATTCATTTTAAGGAACATTTCAAGAGAAACTAAGAGAATTCTTTCTCCTTTTTGGGAGTTGTGACATTTATTTCCCATATTCAATCTCTAAACGACTTCACGTGTCGGATACAACAGACACAAAAGTGGGTGGAGAGGAGCTGACTGCCCAGATTCAACATCAGGGTCCAACAGCAGCCTCATATTGTAAAGATGTCATTTTTTATCTTGCTTACTGGGTGACTCCTATGCAACACCGCTGAAGGCAACAGAAACTATGGCAAAAGCCTGTTTGTAACATACTTCTTATATGTGTTTGAATAAAAAAGACCTGCAGCATCTCAAAAGCTACAGGACTGAATGCTTTACAATAAGCTCTAAACCATACATCCAAGAGATGTGACAGAAAGTGAAATCTCAGAAAGTACCACAAGCTTTTGTTCAACATCACAACAACGCCTGGAAGGATGAACCCAGGCAGAAAAAACTGCCACAACAAAAGCGCCGTCCCTTTCAACCCCAGCTCGCACGGGTGCTTTATAAAGCAGGGTAGTATCAGCAACTGATGTATTCTGAAATAAGCCAGAACAGGGAAATTAAGCCTGTATTTCCCAATCAGAGCTATGCTTTGTTCAAGAGCAGCTAACAGATAAAAAAACATTAAACATGTATGCAAGAATGTACTCCTGTAGTCTTTAATCATCACTAAATCCAGCTCATCCAAATACCTGTGACGCAGATGTGTTACTCAGGTATATTAGCATCAGATCACCCTCAAGTTCCACGTGATTTTCGCATTAAATTAGAAGGATGTGGATCGTTCAGGCTGGTGACAAGCAGCCGGGAGAGCTTCCTGCATTGCGCACTTTGCTGTACCTTGATAAGATTTGATCCTCTGCGTTGTGTCAAGAAGCAATGCAATAACAACATGCCAAAAAGAAAAGCTTTCATTGAGATCAAACTCCCACTCTGTATTTGGAGGGGTAATAACCAATACATTGTAGGTTTGGTTTTTTTTTAAATAAAGTGTCAAGATACTACTATACAGGAAGAGAGAACGTTTGCTGACTGTTCACAAGACAAAAGCAGACAGAAAACACGCCAGTACACCCAGCACCTCTTGTCACAAGCCTAGAATTTAATAGAACATGCCATACTGTCAAACACGAAATCGTAAGTGAGGTTGAGAGACCCAAAAAGCCTCTCTGAACAGCTCTGTTAGTCAAGTTTCAGCTGATGGTACGGGTGAGTAGAAAAGCAGACACCTCTGCAAGCCCCAGCTGCAACAGGACACAGCAAAGCAGACATTCAGGACTCACACGGCTGGCAGACCGAGGCCAGAGCCTCACAGCACCAACATGAGAAGAGGGGGAGGTTGCCTGTGCTGCCCTTACCCAAACATATAATTCCAGTCCTCTGATTTAGAAATCTCCTGTACATCAAGGATTTTTCCAGTTCTCCAATGGAACCGCTGCCTGCTGCTTTCAAGCAGCCACTCACTGTCACCCTTGCATTCCCACTGGCAAGTGACAGCAGAAATCATCCCATAAGGGTGTTAATAGGCTCTGGTGTCCTGCTGGTTAACACCTGTCCTGGTGTTTGCAGAGGTATCCTGGCCTTACCTGCAGCTCAAACTTCTCTGCCAACCAAAAGCACCCCAGGCAGCTGTACTCACACAGGAAAAACGATGTCATGGACGGCTTCGTTATGAGAGGCAGCAATCAGCTCCTCTTTAAACGCAGTGTAGTTAACTTGATAAATCTGGCTCTGATTTGTCCCTACAAAGAACTGGTGACCCTGACCTCTACATGTCAGGGAAGTGACAGCACCTTGAACTTGAATTTTCCTGTGAAAAGAAAGCAGAGGTTTGGTCTGACATTGACCTTGAGGTCCTTATTTTCCAGCTTCCCTTTTCCCCTGACTTCAGAGTTTTGATTTGCTCCACTTCCCCAACACTTTCAATTGTACAAAGCTAAGCTTGCAGAATTGCATGCTGAAATTGGCTACTCCAGCAACGCAACCTGAATAGCTGCGAGCCCAAGTTTCAAACCACATATGGGGAAATGACGCCTGCAGCTTTCCCTTTTGTATGCAGAAAAAAGCTTTGCACGTGCTCCAGCACATCCAGACACGTGCCTATAAAATCAGTGGAGCACTCCTGTACAATCCTTTGTCCTCCAACAAACCCTTTTTCAGATGGCAAACCCTACTCTTTCTCAGTAGGTGCAAATAAGCCAAATTTTACTGACTGCAACGGCCCCGTCTCACTTTGCATCAATTTAGGATCTGGCTCCTAATTCCTAAAAGGAAACAATGGTCTTTAACAATGAACCACGAGCAGGGCAAGTGCATACAGGGATTTTCAGTCTGCTGCAACTTCATTACGCTGCAACTACACTGTATGTTCTGTCTGCAGGGCTGAAAACCAGATTTATTTGGACTACACCTTTCCGTAGAAATGACTGGTTCTGCTAGTGTCACCCTTCAGGGGAACTGTCACCTCTACCTTCCTGAGTCTACCATCTACAAACTCACTTTGTTACTTTGCAGCTTGAGCCTTTACAGAGAGCTACAATCCCTCCTCCGGTGCCGACTATTAAATCTCCTGTCTTCAGCAAAAGCAAAGCTGTGACTCCCTAGGAGAGAACAGGATTAAAACAGTTGGATGGAAGCTGAGTCTCCTTCTTGCTGCAGCCACGCTCAACAGCACAATGGAGTCTCTACCACATTACCGATAGCTGTGCATCTATCACTCAAAGACGGCTTTTAGCCATAGTCTTGGCCTGCCCCACACTACAGAGTGACTCTCCAGAGGGAGAAGGGAGAAAAGCATTAGCAATGACAGGTCTCTGTGAACTACTACAGTGTGAGTCTTTCAAAAGCAAGTTAACAGCATCCTCATGGCTCCTTCAGAGCAGCTGGCACCACATAGGAGCTTACATATCCTTACCTCAGTCCAGCAAGCAATACACACATTTTGTACCAGCACCTTCACTTTGCCTTCCACTGGTTCTTCATCTCTCAGGCACGAAAACGAGAAAGGATAAAACTCATCCTAAGCATCCTTTTCTACAGCTGCTTTTAGGACAGATCCTCTGTGGCCTAGGTCTCTCTCCCTGTTTGAAAGATGCCATCCCATCTCCCACCCAGTAGTACTAAAACACATTTGTCACAGGAAAGCTTTGAAAATCCGCCAGCCCATCAACACCATGGGTTTCTGCTCTTTACTAAGATGAGAAGATCAACAGGAGGTCAGCCATTAGAAAAAGAAATGCTTTTCCGTGCATAAAGTGCCAGACTACAGTAAAAAACCAACAAAATCCACACACAAATAAATAAATGGAAACAGTTCGCAGCCTTGCCACAAAATTTCAAGTATAAGAAAAGTCAGTCTCTGCTTCAGCTCTGCTACCTGTGAAGTAATATACCTCTTCTGTATACAAAACAACAGATTAATTCTTGAAAATCTCTGAGATTGGCTGCAAGAGGGCTGAGCTGACTTCTACAGGGTTAAATCCCAATATTGCTGCTCAGAAAAATAGCCCTCCTAGCCTGGGTAAACATAGGCATGGGTGAAATGGAAAGAAAGAAAGAAAGAAAGAAAGAAAAAAAGTAAGTAAAGGAGCTTTATGCCATCAAAACTTGGACTGAAAACAGCTCTGTCACAAAGCAAGCGTCGTTGGTGAAGTTTTTTCTGGAAAAAAACCCCAAACAAAACCACCTCTATCATTTAGTGGTGTGAAAGCATCAAGAAGGGATTTCTCATGATAAAGTTGGACATCTAAGTAGCACCACTCTGTTCTTTTCCTGTTCTTTTCAAGCCTTCAGCTGGCCTAACCCCAGTAAACTTTCAGGATTCAACACGTTCAGAGTGTTTAAAAGAATGAAAGCCAGAAAGTGCTGATTTTCTGTGTGGAAAGGACTGAAGCTCTAAAGAAGGTGAGAGCAGAAGTGAAAAGAGAAAACAAAATGAACGTTGGAGCTATTTAGGCCCAGAAAGGATGTTGCAAAGCCACAGACAAGGTCTGATGAATTTGGAAAAAATGCTTTTGTTCAATTATCCAACCAAACAGAAGCAACTGATTGGTTTCAAAGTCCTGCTTACACTTTTGGAAGAAAAAAACCAAAACGCCATATAAGTAACCGTGCATTGCAGCGCTGGCATTCCAGGCAGCCTTGCACCTTCCTGCACATCGGCTTAAGGACGATTGAACTTCAGGATCAAGTAACTGGATTGCAGAAAAGAAAAAAGGAAAAAAATGTTCCTGATTTGCAATTGGTTCGCAATTGGATTTCTTCATTAGTCTGTCTCCACCAGAAGCACATCCACAGTCTCCTGTAATATCAGGAAAGACCACTGTGAAAAACACAACCTCCAGAAAGGATCTGATGCTGCCGTATCACATCACTACCAGGCAGGAAACCGGGTTTCATCCAAATATGCTCAGCAAAAGCATGACAACAAAGGGGTGCTTTTTAACTACAAATAAGATCCACAAGCAGAACTGTTTCCGAACAATGTTTTTAAAAACTTCCTGTGAGGTACTGGCAGAATTCTCTGAGTCCCCTGTTATTGCAGGCCCATCAACTGTCCTGTCATCTACTGTCTTGCAGTTTCCCCTGTAAAAGATCTCAAATGTCCTTTGGGTTTAGCGTTATAGTAGGTGGTGGCATTAGAAATCAAACCCATGGCTATGTGGTTTATCTGATTACAGCTCCCTGCTCCTTGTTAACGAATTCGAGTTCTTGCAGCACTGCCCAGACTACTGTGATTTTTTGGACGTATTCTCTTTAGTTCTTCAATCTGAGAGGGAAGCGAGTAGGATTAAGACAGGGGAAAAAAAACACCTGAATGTGGCCAGGATTCATTGCCAGGCTCTCAAACACTCACCTGAGTTTGATTTAAACCTTCACTTGACAATCGTGCTTCTTTCTTACCCAGTCTGTTCTGGACCTTTTAAGTTGCACTTGTTATTCAAGGATTCAAGCAGTTCACGTTAATGATATTCTGCTTTATATACTGTCAGTCCTCTTGTAGATGAAACGTAGAGTCTAACGTTAAAAATACCATCATTCCTTATTTACTTCTAACAAAAAGAAACCACTGCTTTGAAGGATGATTGTAAATAAAAATACCAGCAAAAATCCAGCCTGCCCATTCCCTTCCCTGCAGGGATACTTGCTCTTTGTCCCATTCTGAGCTCTTGCAAAGTTCCTGAGTGCTCTGTGAATTCTTCTTGTGGCCCTCCTTTAAATGTTTGGCCTTTTTTTTAACAATAAACATGCACTCGCAACCATACATCCCACTTTGCATCTGAACAGGTGCCTTATAGCTCCTCCAGCCTCCACTGGGGATAAAAATTGTCACTTCATATGCACAAAGAATTAATTACCTACGTTCTTACGACACAAGCGGGAAAAATGCATCGTAACTACTCCAACCTTCTAGAATAGATAAATACTGAAGTATGGTTCAAAGAATTCATTGGCTCCAAGTGATCCCAGAGATATGGGCCTGCATTTGTAACACAAGAAACACTGCATTTGGAATGGGCATGTATATGGTTTGTACAAATGTGTGTTGGTACAGGTCAGGAGGTTTAGAGAAACCAGTGCAGAGTAGCTTTTCTTCTGAGGTTTACTGCTGAACGTTTCTCACAGTTCTTCTTAGTCTTATGCTTGCTCTCAAACAAGATCTGCTTCTTTGCAGGACAGCTTCCTCACAGCATCCCTAACAGTAAATCTGGGACTTCTACTACACTGCTTCCCCTGCTGCTCACTGATTTGCATGCTTGGTAAAAGAACCGCAAAATACACTCAACCTTACGCAAGCAAGTTTTCCAGGGAAATGCTTAAATTCCTTAGGTACCACTCCCTCCACTGGGTATGAACCGAGAAGCTACACAATGTCTTTTGCAGCAACAAATAAAGAGAAATCAAGAACAAGTGTACTGGCTGGTGCCAAGTGCTGATTGCTACAGGTCCCTGCATGCAGAATTCTTGTACAACGCAAGGCCAACAGCTCCCGATCCAGGAGATGCTCCTGCCTGAGGATTCTCGTACCAAGAACCTGTCTGGAGTTAAAAGAACTCTGGCATTATGAAGTCAAGCCCTCAGAAGTTAAAAAGCCACAGAATCAATGCACAACCTTGTTTCGTCCCATTTGTGCATAGGCTTTATAATGAACTCTTTAACTATATTACCTATACTGCCTTTTCCAGTGAGACCTCTGCTTGCTCAGGGGCAGAATCAGAATTCCAAAAAGACAACCTCCTGAAGGGAATGGGGAGAAATGGAACGGGAAACAAACAGCAAAATCTAGAGAGGTGGAATTCTTTTAAGAGCAGTTGTAGCGTTTTGAAGTTTTTCCAAAATACTCTTTCTGTGGCAAACAGCTGCACGGTAAAATTTCAGCTCAGAAAATTTAACAAATCTGTAAGACGTGAATATAGGACCTTCCAGCAACAAGTGGTGGAAAGCCTCTCAAATAAGCCCTTCTGCCAGTCTTCCCAGGAACCTCCTCTGTCTCACTCCAGCTTGTTACCTTCCTAAAGAGAAACCAGCTCAAGAACTACTCAATTTTTATGACTGTTTTCCACTTTTTATGACTTTTACCAGATAAGAGTATAAAAGGAACTTTGTGGGCTGACACACGCAATTCAGCTAAAACCCAAATTCGGACCCAAATGACACTGAAAAAAGCTGGGCTAGCAGTCTCAGACTTCAGGATCAAGACTGAGATACAAAGAACTTGCAGCACAGAAAAAGGGTCAACCTGTGAATCAAGTGGTGATGGTTTTCCTGGAGGTTGCCTAACTTTCAGTAACTAACAGAGAGGAGAAGGAAAACATTCTAGTCACAGAGCTGCTACTTACCAAGCTAAACTTCTCCTTCTGGGGCCAAGAGTCAGTCATCAGCTTACTCTTTGTATTCATTTTCAGGACATCACCACTTGATGTGCCAAGATAAAAGTAACTATCATCATCTGCCATCTACGGGAAAGCATAAAAAAAGAAAGAGATCATGGTCCAGAGAGCAAGACGCTTGTCCCAAGCCAAGCACTGGGCTGCAGAAATAGCTTTATTTCAGTGTATTGCCAAGCTTTTACCTGATGGGACAGAACTGATGTTTCCATCCCATCACACTCAAAGGTCCATAGCACCGCTGAATGCAAGATGTTTTCTAACCCAATCTAGACAGTATTTTTAAGGAACAGTGGGATTCTCTGGGTGCTAGAACCTGTGACCAAAATAGATGCTGCTCCTCTTCAGAAGCATTCAAAACCCTCTTTCCCAGCATAAAGAAACTCTGGGAGCCCATCTGCCATGAGCCAACACTTCCTAACTTCCCTGCCAGCATCCAGTTGTAATTGGCATTTCTAGCATCACTACAAAAGCTCGTGGTTGATCTCCAGTCTGTAGAGAGCTTCTCAGTTCGGCCAAATCATTCTGGCTGAAGCTTACCGTAACACACACGATCACTCTTCTCAGTTTCCCCATCCAGCATTCAGCTGGTTCGATTTTCTTGGTTACTGGATCCACCTCCCACACTCGAACAGTCTCACTAGAAGAACAAACAAGTGTGTGATCAAATCCATCTATACAGAAACAGGCACGTTTCTTCACTTCCTTCATCTAAAGGAAAGCTTACTTTCCAGCAGTAACAAACATCTCGTCCCTGCAGCTGGAGCACACCACAACGGTTGCGTTCCCCGCTCTGCATGGCGAGACAGGACTCCCGCAGACAGCCTCTCTCTTACCCACGTGCCACACAACCACCCTGCAGGAGAAGGAGGGGCTTGAAAGACCTTTGCTTTAAAAACAAATTACTTAAAAGCAAAAGTAGGACAAAACCTGTTTTCCTGCAGTTTGTTCCCACTAGGATACACAATAAAAGTAACTTTCTAGATATATTACCCAACAGCAGCCTTATCACCAACGCGTGGAATTGCAGTTTACATTCCCTGCTCCTAAAGCAAGGCTATGTGTATTTGTCAAACTCCTTCTGCTGAGCAAGACTCAAATCCTATCTTCAGCCGCTCATAAAATCTGAATTAAAACAACTTTCTATTGCACTCTTACTTGTCTGTGTGTCAAAGAATGCCTTCACTGACATTTGTACCTCTTCAGGGCAGTACCTGAAGCCAGCTGAATGACAGAGCAATGGGGTGTCAGACTGTCAGGAGTAGGAGGAGCAAGCACTCCCTAAGAGCACTCTTCGATGCCCTTGGAAATCATGTTCCTTGTTGGAAATCATGTGCCAAGAAGTGGAAATCATTACCTGCTATCGTCCTGGCCTCCCAGTGATACAAGGTAAAGGCTGCTGGGTGAAAAAGCCAGGGCTTCAATTCGACCCTTATGCATGGAGAGCCGAGCAAGCAGCTCCTTCTGCTTGAAATCCCAGAGAATGATGTCTGCCTGAGGTGCAAAGCAGAAGGGGTCAAAGCCAGAGCACGAGACAGAACACGCAGCATTAGGTATGAAATCTTACTCTGGCAGGAAATCTGTTAGAAGGAGCCTAGCCAAGGTTAGCTTCTGCCCAGTCCCGGGCTCCACAGACACAAAACCGCTTCACAGTAGAGGCTGTGAGAAGTGTTATTCTAGCTTACTTGTTGAGTGACTTTCCTTCACTTCAGAATCAAAATTTACCCCGAGACAGAGAGTTTTTTACTTAGATTTTACAATACTGACAATGCTAATACTTGATCACTTCCAGGTCTGTCAGGGTCTTTTCAGAGGCAAAAATTAAACCATAAAGAACTTAATAGGTCTAAAAATGCAGGTAGGCACCTGACAAGGGCTTTTGAAAGCACAACACTTAGGATAAAAGGGACTAGAATTAAGAGACTCCTCAATCTAGTTATCCCGCTCCTAGGGGGAAGGCTTAATACTTTACAAAAATGCGCATCCAGCAATAGAGTAGCCACTATTTCCCATTCTCTGTAACGTCTGGCATTTGTTTTCCAACTAAAGAAAAAATAAAAAAAACCTGTTCCCACTGCAAGCCAACTCCCCTTTCTTTGGTCAATATTACACAGTTAAAATCAGAGCATTATCTACCATAGAGTCCATGGAGGTGACTTGTCCAGAGGCAACATGCACCCCATCCCTGGACAGGACCACACAGGAGACGTTGTCAGTGTGGCCTTGCAAGAAAGTCTGCTTCTTGCTGTCCAGCTCTTGAATGACCACAGTGCAGCCCAGGGGATAGAGAATGTGCTTCTTATCAGGGTGGCAGCTCAGGCCACAGGGTACGTGTCCTGCAAGAGAAAGGAGCAACAGAGCTGCTGGCTGTTAACAGTTCTGGGGGCAGCAGGCGAATTCTATTCCCCTGCCTGCAGCACACAGTTCCAAGAGTGGGCTGACCTCTCCCCAACACCTCCACAGCACCAGTAGCTTTGCTTATTGCACTCCCTAAGGGGAAATCGCTTCTTCCCCACAATTTAGCTCATAAGGAGAGCAAAAACCAACAGCTTTCCAGTTCCTCCAAAGCCACTCAGCAGGACAACCCTGTGCAAAATGCCAGGGGCAACTTCACAAGTTCTCGACCCCCCATAGTAGTGCCCTGCCCTCAACCTGTCCACTGCAACTCGTGCTCCACATGAGTGCTCCGCAGCTGTTCCCACAGTTTCCCCAAAACCCTGTCCCACCTCCCCATGGTGACCCATGCCTCCCCAGATGCCCCCCAGTGTTCCCCATCCCCCCGCAATTGCC